CCCTCCCTCCCTCTCTCATTCATTATATTGCTATATCCAGGTTAGTAAAGCTCATAGTTGGACATGTATGGATCTTTACATCTTTGCGACTCCATATCGCGTTACATGGGATTATTATTTCATATCTCGCGAACATACCCTTGAGTTCAAAGAGTGGGAATCGAAAGCAGAGTTTGAATATGTAAGCAAATTTTGCTTCATTTAGAATTGTGCTTGCATATATGGAAACGTGGATTTTTTTAGTTGTATGATAGCTCTCTATTACAAATACTGCTTCTTAGGTAAAAAATAGGGGGGTTTCGATTTTTCTCCTACAAGCAGGGATGTTAGGAACTCTTCAGGCTCTGTGGGAGGTATTCCCTTTATTCACAAATACTGGATGGGGTGAGAACACTAACATTGCATTTCTAAAAAAGCACATGGGGGCTGTTTTTGAAGAACGCCCTCAGCCATGGGTGACAAACATCACTGTTGAGGATATCCATTCTGGAGATTTCCTGGCACTGTCAAAAATTCGAGGTCGTTGGGGTGGTTTTGAGACACTAGAAAAGTGGGTAAGTGGAGCTTATGCTGGTCATACTGCTGTTTGCTTAAGGGACTTTGAAGGAAAGCTATGGGTTGGAGAATCAGGGCATGAGAATGAGAAGGTAATTTTTAACTCCGCCAAAATTGGCTTGTGTTGATTCCTTTTGGTTGTAAATTTCAGCTCGAATTTGTTGGTTTTGTGCGCATTTTGCGAGCTTGTCTTAATTACTCGTTCAGTTACTGGTACATGTCTCCAAAGCTAACTATTTGCAGAATGCTTAAAAGGCCGTGTATTTGGACTTTAGCGATTCAATTTTCTCTTCTACTGTCCTAGTGGAGCACATCTTTTATGAATTTTGAATTTGCATCATAGGGAGAAGATGTTATTGCAATCTTACCATGGGATGAATGGTGGGAATATGAGCTGACAAAGGATGATGCCAATCCACAAATTGCATTGCTTCCTTTGCATCCTGAACTCCGGGCCAAGTTCAACGAAAGTGCTGCCTGGGAATATGCATTAAGCATGTCAGGAAAACCTTATGGATATCATAACTTGATATTTAGCTGGATAGACACAATCAGCGAAAATTACCCATCACCTTTGGATGCTCATCTGGTATTGCAAACTCTTCTTAAATAGGTTTTGTTGAAGCGATGCCCTGGAATTTCAATAATGCTATGTTATTATTAAGCATATGATTTGTGCTATTTATTTGTCCACGTAATTATTTTCTTTGTGTTAGGATGATGGTTTTTTCTGAATCTGAGGTGTATCTTTAAGTTAGACAAGTACAATATCATTCGGTGAACAACTATGGTTCTCTCAAATAATATTTTGCATTATTCATATTCTTGGGAAGAATCCTAACTAGTATGTGAAAGACCACATAAGTTTCGAGTTTGAGTTCATATGAGAAGTTTATCTCATTGAATTGTATTTCTGAATTAGCCTTGATGTATGATCTGGATATGTACTTCTCATGAATAGATTTTAGTTGTCTGTCAACCACCATCTTGGGATCTCAAGAAAATTATAAGACAACTAAAATTTGTTTACAAAGAGTTCAGTGAAATAATTTTTCAATACTAGAGTATGGAACTTGAGAAACCTGTTATGTAGTTGGATTAGGATAATAACATCAGTTTAAAGTGTCTGAACCAAATTTTGACAGGAAGTAGCAATCACTTAGATTCAGTTCTACTCTATTTGTTTCTTTATGTAAACTGTGGATATGATTTTCATGCTTTATCTGCATTCTGATTTTAAATTCCTAAAAGAGAGAGAGATTCAAGGGGAAGAAAACTTGAACACTTGGAATAACTGTTTCTGAAATTCAATGTGGGATATAGGTTTTTTGTTCTTTTGTTTTTTTTTATTGTGGAGGGCGCAGAGTTTTAACAGAAAAAATAACAGTTAAGAAAAACCTCAATATCGTTATAGAATCCCTCTGTGTTGAAAATTTTGATACAATAAATTGTAAGAACAAGAAAGCAAAGACAGACCATATAGTATACCTCACATAAATGCTGTACAATATCTAATGCTGCTGGTGTCTTTATTTATGTACCATCACCATCTTTTGATGCTACCGCTTATGAATTACTGATTTTTTTTTAAACTTCTTCCTTTCTTGATTTCTTTTTCCCTTATTGGTCATTTTTCAGGTTGCTTCTGTTATGACTGTTTGGACTCGGCTAAAACCTGCATATGCTGGTAATATGTGGATCGAAGCATTGAACAAACGACTTGGAACTCAGGTTTTATTAGTCACCATCTCATTAATCAAATGCTTTCTGATTTGTGATGCTGCGCTTAAGGTGTATTGGATGTCTAGAAGAAATTAAATTAGTTAAGATTTTCTTTATTTAAATTATACGCCTCGAATAGACTTTTAGCATCGCATTATTGGATGAATCTTAGCTGAAGGAGTCAATGATTGTGTTGTTCTGTGAGTTTCAGAATGGAGCATCTGTAACTTAAAAATGTGTTTTTATTGACGTAAAAAAAATTGCTAGGAAATTTGTCAGCACAAAATGAGGAGCTTTTATGAAGTGTCCTTGAAAAATTCCTCCATCTTTCAATAGTTGGGTACAACTTTGATTTTGATTTACCGGGTGAAAACCTTTGAGGCATCTTATTGTTGTTTGCCATATATGGCAGTTGACTACTAACCTATTCAATATGAAAAATTCTTGGTTACATGGACATGTTGCTAAGTTGAATGAGATCATAGAGATATCTATGCAAGTTCTGTACAAATTATAAAAGCTGGTATGCTTTTGCCTCAGCAGAACCTTAGCCTTTCTGAAATTCTCGTGCAAGTTGAGAAGCGTGGTTCATCGTTTGGCGAATTATTGGCAATTCCCGAACAGGACAATTGGGTTTATGCTGATGGAAAGTCCACATCCTGTGTCGCTTTTGTCTTTGAATTATACAAGGAAGCAGGGCTGTTTGGTGATCTTTCTAGCTCCATTCAAGTTACTGAGTTCACGGTGAGGTTTCTACTAATCATTTCATGTATTTTACTTCTGTATTAGTGTCATTGATTCCATGACTGCCTTCTTAATTTCACACAATAAATTATGCTAGATTTTCATGGGGAATCTTGACTAATATATCTATCTCAACGACTGCAGATAAAAGATGCTTACTCTCTCAAGTTTTTTGAGAACGATTCAAGCCGGTTGCCCAAGTGGTGCAATGACGCGGACACAGTGAAGCTCCCATTTTGTCAAATTCGAGGGAAATACCGAATGGAATTACCTGGATACAACACCATGGATCCTTACCCTCACATGAACGAAAGGTGCCCTTCTCTGCCACCAAAATATGCCAGAACAACTGGTTGCTGATAGGCTATGTATACGTTCTTTCCACGACATTGTGCTCAACATTTAGTCGAGTTTTTTAGGTTGCTTACATTTCTTTTGTACAGGTCTTGTATATTATAAAAGATTAACACGTAACATCGAAAAAGCTTGACATGCTTCTTGTTCTTTGCTAATTTAAGCAAAAAGTGATTGACGGAGGGAATAATATGCATTATTGTACAGGGTGCACAGTTAAATAAAGCAATGAAACCTTTATAACAATATTCTGAGAATGTTGATATCAGTAATTGCTCCGAGCATCATCGTTGTTCAAGAAAATGTTGTTATTTTCGAATTTCTTGAACAAGGGCCAAAAATCGAAAACCCTGTATGACAGAATACGATATATGGTTCCTTTTGCCATGACAATCGAAATACTGTTGCATCTAAGTATAGGGTGAAATCCAATAAAAAAATAAAAAGCTGATGCAACTAAGTACGATATAGTAAGGGTGAAATTCAAAATAAAAAAGTACTAAAAAATAAGTATTTCCTCAATTGTACTAAAGTATTGCATGTTGAGTTCTTTACAGAATTCGAATATTAGTTAACAGTAGACAATACAAGATCTACCAGAAACATTAACAGTCAGGAAAATACTGGCATTCCTCTTTTAATACAATCATTCTATCTAGAGAACAGAATAAAAAAGGGCTTAACCAGCAATATCGACAAATCCATGTTTTTGGGTGGCAATGCTCAGTGGATACAGTAACAGAATCAATAGAGGAAGAGATGTTCCATGCCATCACTCAGTCTTGGGCGGGAAATGGTTTCCACCGGTCACAATCTTGTACAGATAAAATATGGTCATCAAGCCGCTGCAGACGAGATTAGATAGCAAACCTTCAGCAACGTTAGGTGAAATCACCCTGAATAATTTGATCAAATAAACTACAGGCGTTCAACATGAAATGGTGTATGCCATGCAGCTAAATATCAAAGATCCTTTACCTTCTTAGACAACATTCTCATACAAAATAAAAAAGAAAACAGAATTTTCCCACTGGTTCAATAATTTGCAATTAGAAATTGTGGATTTTCAGTCAAGTTCTCCATGCTATCAAGTTTTAGAATTAACTTTTTAGCATTCCCAAGCTTACTTTTGTATGTCTTTCAGATTCCGTTTATAGAAATATGTTACAAACACATTCAAGAGTAATGCTATTTGTACATAAGGATAACATGGAAGAGAGAGAAAGATTATAATAATTGAATTTCTTCTCTCTCTCTCTCTCTCTCTCTCTCTCTCTCTCTTCATCATTACATACACTATTATTTACAAATAGCTGTTGGTCCTCAATAACAGAATGATTAAATGCCCTTCTTGGATTTGTTGTTAAGGCCCAATTCCACAAAAAAGGGCATCCATCACAAAATTTTATATAAGGGATTTCCATTTCCATTGCTAATTCTTAGGTTGCAAACACGAGAGTATACAACTGTGGATACTCAGATAAGTACTTCACCAACGACGAACCAAGGCAGGTAAGAAATAGTGCTAAAGAAACCAGCTTAACTTGAGCAAATATAAAGTGCAGGTATCTACCCTATCCATCCATGAAATCACTGTCAGAGCTAAATACAGCTCAACCAAGAAATATAAGCACAAGGCATGATCGGCAGTGTTAAATCAGTCCAAGCTTACTAGTGTCATTCATTCTGCAGCAAACTAACAAGGCAACCTCAAGAAACAGCTTTTGTCTTATTCCTACTGCAGAAGTAATGATTCCGGTTTCTAGGGGCTGAATCTGATTAGCATATCTTTTCTTTAGGAGTCAATAAAATGTATAAAAAGAAATTAATTAGACAAATAGATTTTGGTAAAGTTATATGCAATGAATAGTTGATTAGCTACTAGATAATAACTTTATGTGCCGTCTAAATTAACAATAATTTTGTAGGTAACTATTCAGAAATAATTTTCCCAAATTAGGAATGAGTTAATAGGACTGCTTCGTCTTTTTCAAAACTGTCATCTCTCTGTCTCTGTCCCTCTATCTCATACACACCCACACAGACATCTGAATCAACTTGCATATTGCAAAGACTCCTTTTGCAATTGATTTTGTGGATAAAACTCACTGACTATGCAGTGAACAGGTTGCAGGAATTTCCAAATGACTTGACATTCTCTAACTTTCTAGATATATTCAGGTAGAAGTTATTCAAATTTGCAACTCCAAATATATATTCACTATTTTATTTTATTATGAGAATGAACCAAGAAACTAAACGGGCGAAATACAGTGTGTAAAAGTGAATGCACTATGAAAACTCCAATTGTGGGACACACCCGGTCATAGAGTAATTTAATTTTCATTTTTTATCAATGGTAATTAGGATATTTAGATTTGGTATCAAGAAATGTAAAATCTTACCATGCAGCAGCACCAAAATGTTCCCCTAAAGTATAAGAATCTTCATTTGATCTGACAAAAATATTTACTCCTTCAAGGTTTTTTAGATGATTTTTCAGGTTATCCAATCATAAGAATGCAAGCGATCTTGTATTTTCAATTGCAAAATCTCAACATGACCGGACGTCCAATGTTATATTTACTGATGTCTAGAGGTCTTAACTTTCAACATTCCCTATCTTTCTTTATTGCACTTCTCATTTTGAAAAGCAATTTATAAATAAAAGAGGAAATGATTGTCCTGAAATGCGGTTATATAGAAATATTAAACATATCAAACAAAAACTATACAGTATGAATGTTTAGCGTGATGTCAACCAGCATATAGATTGATTAGTCTGCATATTCCCGGATATGCATGTCAAGTCTTTTGGCATGATATGATAGAAAGAACGAATGCACCAACTTCAAAACCCCTACAGTGCGAGTTCAAATATGAAAGACCAGATGTAAGGGGGCTCTTTAATCATTTTCAGTTACCTGATCCCAGCAACAATACCAGCTGGCATTATCTTTGAAGTTTGCATGTAACGCTGTCCCATGACCCAAGTCAGTATGGCAGCACAAGCTGTTCGAAACAATGTAAAATTAATAAGAACAGAAGTAGATATAACTCGAAATCAAAATTATGATGACGTTAAAAAATGTGTAGTAAGGAAGCCTGTGAATTTTTCTTTCATCCATTACCATATTCCAAGTTGGCACAGTTAATACTTAAAGACTATAGTTGTACATTTAAACCGTATCAGCTTCATATTCAATCATTGGCAAGTACTAAATGTACAACATTACTCTTTCCAAGATTTCAGATTCATTGTCAACTTCATACAATTTAAGTATGCATCTACATCCAGCATGGCATGTCCAAAGAGACATCAAGTCTTTACAACATATAAAAACCATTATGATTCAATTTAGATAAGACAAAACTGTGGATCATTTAGCATCTATGATTTCATTTTTCATTTGTGCAACAATAAACAGAATGTCACAGAGATGCACGAATTCAAAGACCGGATAGCAGCCAAATACCAAAGGATTTTATGAGCACAGCAGCTAAGATAAGAGAGATTAGTATCCCATAAGTATTAATTCTCTTCAAATATAACATTCACATTCACGAAAATCGCAAGAAGAAACATGATCATAGTTATAGCCAGGAAACGGAGTTTCGAAGTAACCAGAACAATTTTTTATACAAACAGAAACCAAATTCACTTTCAGATACATATAATTACTATAGTTGACACTCAATTTCAGAGGAAACGCTGGGACGTCTGAGAATTCATATTATTGCAAGTTCTAATTAAAGATTATATGCTCTCTCAAGAATATGTATTAGAAAAGCTAACTAATTAGATCAAAACCACATAAATTCAATTTTGTTTTAACAGAGTACAGATAAATGCATGATTCTCAAAAATACATCAAATAATCACAACAAAATTGCCCAAAATATCTTTGAAGAAGATAAGCAGTACCGGTTTCAATAATCAAGGCAAAATAAGAGTTTTTGCGTTTGTGGAAAGCTTGGAGGCTGAGATAACCGGTGAGAATGAGCAAGAATCCGGTGCCAAGGCCTCCGGCGAGTGAGGCTGTGCTGCCTTTCTTGGCGTATCCAATGATCCCACCACACACCAGCATTAGCCCATATGGGATTGTGAAGCAAAAATCATGCATTTTCAACGACTGGGCCTTTGAAAATGATTCAAATTTTCGAAATTTTAGCAAATTTCAGAGCAAAACTTTCAACAGCGATGATGGCGTGTGGTTCTGTTGGTCAAATGTTCGCGTCACCAACTCCAATACCAGGTTATCGGCCCAGAAATATTCGTGAAATGTCCCATTTGTCCTTGTCACGGGCTAAAGATTGGAACTTTGAATGAAACTCTAGAGGATAATAGTGTCTAATTGATATGGCTAAGAAGGTCTGCGTGGGCACCACACTTCATCCTCCATGGTCCTTTACACTTTTCTTTTTTACCACTCTGATTTGAGAAAAGCGGACTGAAATTATGCAAGGAATTGTGAATTTCTGTTTATGGCATATATTGGGCTAAGATCAGAATGTTTACTTATAAGTAAATTGTAACAAATAACTTTTTATTCGTTCAAGTTTGAAACTAGTTAACTTAAAATGAGTTAAGAGTTACTTTTAAAGGGAAAATACCTCTAACTTTTTTACTTAAAAATAAATAAGAACTTAAACATGTTTAGAAATAAAAATTACTTATTAAATAACTTTTACTTATTCCTAAACTTGGTGATGTATGTTCTTTGACATGAGCATTTGGACCGTGAAAACGACCGATACAAACAGAATCGCAACTCGGGGGGCTTAGAAATGTCGACGGAATTTCAGTTTCTGACGTTAATTTTCCAGCTCGTTTCCTTGTTAGATTACCTGTCACGAGTTATAAAATGGGTCGGGTTGATCTCGAAGAAAGCAGCCATATTTTGGTGCAAATGCAAACTGAAAGAGAGAGGGATGATTGTGTTGAAACCTCAATTTCAGGAAATGGCAAATTGGGATTCAGTTTTCGTAGAACTTCGTGGTGAGGAAATACATAAAAGTTGCAAAAAGATACGATTTAGTCACAAAATTCAGACTTCATGATGAGTGGAGACTGGAGGTATCGATTCCGAGCCAGATTCTCGAGTTTCCAAAAAAACTATTATCGAATTGAAATTTGCTATTTCTAAACTAATTTTTGACACTTTGATCAATTGGATGAAAAAACTGTTTAAAATTTAAACTGTTCAATAGGATAATAACACGTGACAAAATGTAAACTAACGTGTACATCATAGTGTACGTATAACAAGGTTCTATTGAATTTACTATCGAAAAGCATGGAGCTATTAGATCCTTCTATCATTGTACGATGAAAAATGAACAGCACAGATTGAATCTTGATGCTCTGTTGGCCTCAAATGTAGCCATTAGCGATACAAGAAAAGGGCTTGTTGTAAAAAGGCTTTTTTGAAATCCACTAGACGGGAGCAATTTTGTGCCAAGACAGCGAAGAATTTGAAGCTGTACTTCATCCTGGCTCATCGCTATTTTCGAGGTGGGGAATTTGACAGGAGGAGACGCCCTACCACTAGACATCCTCCTTTATGTTCTTCCCTACAAAAGTTCGATGTTCCCACAACTGTCGACAAAAATGAAGGTCGTGAAGCGTCACTCTCCATTTTGCTACATGATTCTAAAGTCATTCACTCGACAACGGAGATGGGCTAGCAAAAGATTAGCTTTTCGATACCATCGAATAAAAAATAAATAAAGAATCGAAATCTATGCTCAAAGAAGAAGTTTTGAATAAATATATCGCCATGCTATTAAGTATTTTAATTTAAGTTCTTTTGAATGGAACATGGATAAGATATTAACATGTATGGTTACCATATTACAATTGTAGACATGTCTATGAAACAGTTTGGAGCTAATAATCCATAAAGAAACTAGGTTGTTCCAACAAAGGACAAGTATTTACATATGCCAAAGGATTGCACCTGGTAACACAAAAGAAGACATGCCCGAGCCCACCAATTTTAAGGTTCCATGAGCATGTTCCTTGGTTCACGACTCGTTTCAGCAAGACATCCCGAACCAACCAAAGAGGTTATCCAGACCTGGTCAGACCTCACCGATTCATCATCATCATTCCTATGCCAGCTCCAAAATGCGTGAGTCGAGTTCATTACCCTGAACTCGCCGTGACCAAAGCTTGCTTCACGGAAGACCGACCATTCAGGTTGGGGATTCAAGTACCTGATAATAATTTTATAGTTAAAGAATGCAGAATGAAGAATATAAAGCCGGTAACTTGTAAACTGTTTATAGTTTTTTTCTGCTTAGCTTTGTAATGCACAGATCTTACTATGGGAAGACTTACTTGTGTGCTAAACCTTCCCGGTTACCTCCGTCACCAATTGTTATGTGATTGGGTCCGCAAGCATCTAATTTACCATTATAAACACGTCTCTGTCGCACAATTAAGTTAATAGGTCAAGTACACAGAGATTAAAAAAGATAATAGAAGCTACCAGATTAAAAAAGATAATAGAAGCTACCACCAGTATGCCTTACCGAGCGCTCATAAGCATGGACATGGCCAGCAAACACAACATCCACACCAGCCGCATAAAGTAACGGTTCCATGGATGCCATCATGTCGTCACCTTCACCTTGATGAGCATGATTGCTGTTATACCATGGCACGTGGAACACTGCTAGGAGCCATGGTGTCCTCTCACGATCCACCTTCGAAAGATCAGCCTACAATTTGGAGTTACATAAACAATCGGAAATATCAGCACGAGAGATCAACTTAAAAATCATGCTTCAATAATAGTAAAATGTTACTCCCTTTTCACGATCCAGTTCTATACACTATTTATTCAATGATAGGTGAACACAGTCTATTTGACGATGGGAAAGAGGTTATAGTACTTGGATATTTATTTGCCAAAAAAGATGTATGAAATGAAAGCTAAGCGGAGGAAATGCAAACAAACAATCTAGACAGTCTGGAACATAAATGAAAAGCACGCTATATGGAAGATGGAACTTTGATGAGAATGAGCATCGTTTATAGGCGAGCGTTTTGGCACCAAATGGTGCACAGTTAAGCGTTCAGGTGGACAGTTACTAAGCTTTAGGGGCTCAAATAGCAATACATAATCTGTAAGACTCGAGATAGAGAAAGACTGGTCTTAGGATATGAGAAACAGAAGGCACTGGCAAGAGTGAAAAATAAATTCCATTGGGAGAGTTAGAAGTCAGGCCATGACACAAAGTCATCTCCTATTATTTGATCACCTAAGTATACCTACAGCATTAGTTTCCCAACTCCTGGTCAAGAAACGTAGATGCCATACTCGTTTCGCTAAAGCACACATAATGAATTGATCAAATAAAGCAAAAACATTTCAATAGTACAAACAAATTCAGTTAAGAAAAATATTGTGTCAACTGACCTTCAGCCAGTTATATTGATCAGAGTACTCGTCATAATCTGCATAAGAACCAAGCATGATAATATGAACTCCTGCAACTTCAAATGAATAATACAGATTTGAATTGGATCCACTCTCGTCAAATGGCATTTTCCATCTCGAATTATAGGATACGAACCCCTTCTTTAAGATTGGTATCTCCTCCTTCTCATGGTTCCCTTGCGTGACCATCCAGGGTCTTGAACTTGCAAGTGGCTGCACTAGCTCCCCAAACGTGTCCCACCTATGCTGCATGTAATCAGCATACGAGAGGTCTCCAGGAAGCACATGAACATCATATTTGCACTGCTTTATGTGTTTTATAGTCGACTTAGTCCATCCAGTCTGACCTAAGTCGCCAGCCACTGCAAAGGTAACCGGAAAATGAGATGGTGGGGTTTTGAACTGAAACTCCGGACCATTTCCCCCACATCGGTAGAAATACATGGTATCATGTTCAAGTGGCCCAATGACAGTATGGTGTATCTTTCCAGACTTATACAGAAAGTATCTATAACTAGTACTCTCGCCTTTAGCTATAGAGTTGTAGCTTTTCCGTGAAGTTCCATATTCAACAATTGAAGGAGAAGATTTATCACTGGTGATCCACGTGATCCGCATGTGTTTATCTCCAGCCAACGAGATGTGAACCTGCAATTGCCACTTGCATGAACTCAATTGCCAGTTCAAGAGTTAGAAAAAAAAAATCCAGTTATGTAATCTTCACAACAGATCAACAGAAGCCATTCTGAAATTGGGGGAACATTTATGTCAACAATCTCTTAGAAAGTTTGCTATTTTGAAGAATTTGACTCCACGGGAAAAGTATTCAACACCATGATTCAACCACGAGCAAAATAGTTCTACAGTAACGGCAAACTCGAAGAAATCAATCATTAAATTAGTGACACATTTATGTTGGAAATTATATTAAGTTTTTACTTTCAAAATTATTATATTTTAGTTTTGGTTTAATTAAAATCTTAATTTATAATATAACATATACTTAAATATTTGAATGGAGGTTATGAATTGATTTAATTTATAATATAACATACACTTAAATATTTTCACAACATGAAAATCACAATTTTTGAGATACAATTAGAAACACAACTTGAGATGATTGAATCCAAAAATATTCTCTACAAATTTATAACATACTATTTTGGCAACTATATGAGAAGCTTGTTTACTTATCTCCCTATGATCGTGTCCATAGAAGGAGACTAGGAGAGCCACATGAGTTTTATCTTGGAGCCTTGTAATGTTGAAAAAACCCGCACGAAAGGAAGGCAATACGACTTTAAGACAATGTCCTCGACGTGACTCCCAAAACTTGATTTCTATTCTCAAATTATATTATATTATTGTTAAATTATGTTTGTGTTGTCTAATTGTTTATATTAATTGATAAAAAAGTCTATACACAAATTACCAATTTTTCCAACAATCTAAAATCGTGTTGGTGATTTGTACGTAGAACAATTCTTGTTATGTGATTTGTGTGTATATTATTAGTTTTATGATCATGAATCACTGCAAAATTTCTTATTCTTTTAATTAAATTAAGAAATTTGGGCACTAAGACATCTTTACAAAATTAGGAATGAACTCCCATAATTTGTCCTTGGTGTAAGCGACCTAAATTTTTAAATTAGGAGGGCCATGATGCTATTCCATTTTAGGTATGTGTTCGTATAATAAATTGAGGGTGAATTGGTAACTAGCCCTGCCTAATCAATAATAATAATATGATAGTCTATAAAATAAATTTAATTGGACTTAGAGATAGTGAAAATAATTTCATTCAAGAAGTGTGTCTAGAGCCTTCAAATACTTCTCCCTTGGTAACTAACTGTACTAAAATAAATTTATATTGGAGAGTGAATAATTACAAATTTGTTATCCAACAATTAAAAAGTAAAATAAAAAATTGCAGAAAATTCTATTATGCATATTATTGGTTTAGAACAATTATTAAACCTCGTTTTCACATTTGATATTAAAAAAAAAAAAAAAAAACCAATATACAAATTAGAATGAGAAAGGTTATTTTGAGACATGTTTTTTTTTAGAAAGTTCACTCTGTTTTCTTGATTTGTCTTAGTTTCGGAAGTCAAAACAACTGATTCTTCTGTTGCATATTTGATACTCATTTCATGAAAATGTGATGAGTTTCCCAGAAGCTGTATTGACATTTTCGAAGTATGGATTATGATTCAAAATTTTGGTCATTTTGTTATTTGTTTTTGAATGTGTTTATTGAGTCTAGGATTTTTCCATCCAACACCAACTTTGGAATACGAAAAATCGTTTGCGTATTAAAGTTTAGACGGATGGAAATGCTAATTTGAGCTCATATTAAATGTTTTTGATCATTATCAAATAAATAAATAAAATAAAAAATTGTGAATTTATAAAATTTTGAATTTATTTTCTTTTCAAAGTTGGGATCATTTTCATGGCTTTAAGGTATCCTTAGCAAATGTCTCCTTCGACATAACTACTATGATTGAAAAACACATCTATAAAATTCTTGTCTGTGAGTTTAGAATTACAGGTGATTATATGGGTTTACAGCCATGAAGACTTCTTTTGCAGTTTTGATAAGTGAAACCTATATCAATTCATTCTTTCATTATGAGATGAATGAGGTAAGAGAAAATAACATAGTGACCTTGCATCAGATTCATCATTAGAAGATTTATGTACATGTACATAGGCTGAAAGATTCTAATGATGAGATGAGAAATAAAAATAACATTCTGAAGAAGTAAAGATTAGTCATTATAAAAGTCAACAGATTGCATTCTATAATTTAATGGGGGTAATTCCATAAATAAATAAATATATACACACACACACACATATAAATGGAGCAATATTTTTAGTGCTAATTAATCTTATTTTCAAATTTGTTTTAAGTCTTTGGAAATTTAACAGGGAAACCTTACTCAGTAAAGAAATTTCAAAAGTTAGGGGAAACAGGGAAACCTTACTTAGAAAAGAAATTTCAAAAGTTAGGGGATATTAAAAATTTTGGATTTATTTATGCTAAATATCCATGATTATTCATGATTATAATGAAGTTGATCTGCATTCAAAGTTATATGTAACGCTCTTATGATATGCAATTCTTCTAGTATAAGAGATAAATTATAATATTGAAGATCATATATTTACTCAATTCAGGTTGGATATCCTTGAAATGTGGGGGGTATTAAACTATTTAATAGGGTTTTCTTGTCTTTGGTCAATGCTTGAAAAGAAGTTAGATGAATATCAAAACGTCATACTTTTATTTAAATCTATCTAAATTGTTCTTATTTATTGTGACACTAACATTTTGTGAAAGTGTTTAGAAGTATTTGCAGACATGGAAAATTTCAAAGAAACTCCACAACAATAGATATCTTTGGAATGTGGAGGTGTTTAATATAAATACACCTTATATTTTCTTTTTCCTAATTGTAAACTAACTCTTGAATAGTGCCAAAAAAATGAATTTGAAGATTACAGGTGAAATGCAAGAACTCAATGGATGCATCTCCCCAAACATGTTACTAGAAGCCAATATCATCAATTGTATGACATTTATCTTATTATAATTATATATGTGATCTTGACATTTTGAAAAAAAATTCTTAGATGACTTTGCAGATGTGCAATATGCATGAGGATAAGATTTGTAAATTAATGGCACCAATTTATTGTCCAAGAGGGACATAAATAAATTATAGTCCAACATGGATATAATAAATCATCAAGGGGGATAGGCTGAAGTCCTAGGGGAGTCACCTCCGGGAATAATCCAACCTTTGTGATTGGAGATCTCATAAAGAAAGTTCAATATGGTAGAAACAACCCGTACTGCGTGACTTATAATAACACTACTTATATTGTGCTCATCCCTATAGTGATAGTGCTAATAATAAATGTGATATTAGAAAGGGAAGGGTTTAATCCTGAATGAGTACCGAGCCGAGAATTCTCCTAAGGTGTGGGTCACACGCAACCTTTGAGGAATTACCTATATAAGAGTTGCCATGAGGCCGTTGCTATGGGATTAGGCTATTCCCTAGAGACTCTTACTAGAATTAAGATTAGAGTGCATAACCATCAAAAGCGTTACCCGCTATGAACTAAAACCTAAATCGATACAGTGTGTGGAACAATTAAAATTTGACCAAGGGGATCTAATTCGAGACTTAGTCCATTATGGTTCCCTCAAATAGAAATTGTTATTACTAAGTAAGGTTCAAATCCAAAAGACACCTACACCTATTACACAGTATAACGTTGCCACTTTATAATATATATTTCTTTATTTTGAAAGATTAAAACTTGTGGGGAATTGTTAGAAATTATATTCAGTTTTAACTTTCAAAATTATTATATTTTTATTTTCAATTTTGGTTTAATTAAAATCTTAATTTATAATATAACATACACTTAAATATTTCAATGGAGGTTATAAATTGATTTAATTTTCATTAGTGTGGAGGTTTAAATTGTACACTATAAAGAGGGGGGGACATAACATGAAAATCGCAATTTTTGAGATACAATTGGAAACACAACTTGAGATGATTGAATCCATAAATATTCTCCACAAATTTATACTATACTATTTTGGCAACTAGATGAGAAGGTTGTTCACTTATCTCCCTATGGTCATGCCAATAGAAGGAAAGCCACATGGATTTTATCTTGGAGTCGTGTAGTGCCAAAAAAATCCGCACAAAGGAGAGGCAACACAACTCTAGAACAGTGTCCTCAACGTGACTCCCAAAACTTGATTTCTATTCTCAATTTATATTATATTATTGTTGAATTATGTTTGTGTTGTCTAATTGTTTATGTTAATTGATTAAAAAAAGTCTACTCACAAATCACCAATTTTCCCAACAGTTTAATCGGGTGACTGATGATGTAACTAAACAGTATGAAGAAATCTTAGTCTAATGAATAATAGTCCCAGTTCAATCGAGGAACAATTAACCCCTTCTATTTCAACGAATAAAGACGTCCCACAATCAGATAATCAATTCAAAACCGGAGAAAGTACTAATAATTCAAATTTCAAGAGAGCCCACTCATAAATAAAAGTAAAAAAAGAGAAACAAGAAACAGGATTCACCTGTTGAGGATGAGAAGAAGCCTTAGTGCTCCATGGAAAGTGCAGTGTTTTACGAGGCGGAGGTCTAACATAATCGGCTCCTGTAGCTACTATTAAAAGCACCGTTAACACAACAATCATCGATTTTGGTTCCATGTTTTTCATCAGATTATTGTTTTCTGGGAACTGGGATAAAAACTCAGAAAAAATACTCTCTCAGTGGATTATGCAGTGAGTGGTCTAGGCTTTATCCGGTAAGATTGTCTCGATTTGGGGAGGGTTTCGTTCAACAGTGATTCGGCGAATCATATTTCAAGATTCCGTTACGTTACCATCGTGGAAGATAAACCAATGGAATGTAAGAATAAATTTGAAATTATGAGATGAGATGAGATTTTATTTTATTTTTATGCTTATTTGTGATAACTATTAGGTCTGTTTGATTGTAAAGATAGAATTGAATTGAAAATGAATTTTAGGAAATTGAATTGTTTAAAAATTATTTTTCCGTGAATTGTAAATTATTGTGTTTGATTAGTATAATTTTTCACGTGAAAAATGTTAAAATAAAAATATATTTTTTTTCGTTTGATTTTGTTTTACATGAAAATTGTCAATTAAAGGGATATATTTTATTGGTATTAAGAATGAAATTTGTTTCTATTGTAAAAAAAAAAAAAAATCAAGAAAATCATTTATTTTTTGGTGTTCATTTGGCTTCATTTTATATGAAAATTGTCAATTAAAGAGAAATTTTTTCTTACAATAATTTTTAAAATTGGTTTCCATTGCCAAAAAAAAGGAGGAAAAAAAGAAAAAACAAAATAAAATACTGCAGTAGACTAGAATTTGAATTCTCATCGTATCTTGAAAACAAGGAAAAGTGGAATTTCCAAGAAATATAAGAAATTCAATTTCATGGTAAATATAAGCTATCAAACACCCTTTTGTGGAAGTTGGAATCCAAATTTCATTTTCTAGGGAAAATTTTGTTGAATCAAACGGTGCCTTAGAACGTTTTATTGATTTTATTTTTCATGAAAAATATCATTTTTATCAAAATTTTTACATTTTGAGTGTTTGATTGACAATTTTTTTCATAAAAGATAATTTTCAACTTTAATCGTGTGATCTCTATTTTTCGAAAACAAGAAAAATATTTTCTTTATGCACCTCATATAAAAACAAGCTATCGGCCTCTTAGCCCCCGGGGCACATCCAAGTTGGCAAAGGACGGGCATTCCGGGGCTCGCAACCTCAGCGTGGGGAGTTCGATTCCTGGTTGGAGCAGCTAAGTGATGTAATAACCATTCTTAATTGGAGCAGTTTGGTGATGTAATAATCATGGAGGAAGGCTCCCTTGGGGTCAGGAGTATAAAGGATGCACGGACCCTGGTCAACTTGGGCATATGCCGCGATTTACCTCCACTAGTCACTGAGGGGCCGAGGGCTAGGGGTCCAGGATTTAGTCCGACGAAGCTGGGACACCTGGGTTATCAAAAAAAAAAAAAAGCTATCGGCCTCTTTAGTTATGCCACGTCTACTAACTGAACTTTTCTTTTGTCGTGACATATTACTTTTTATAAAACAAATAAATAAATATTTATTCATTTCAAATGAATTTAAAACTTAAAAATAACACGTCAAAAATTAGTTAGTTACGCAAAAACTACAACCGTTAACATCTTTTTCCATCTTGCAATATTCTCACAGTACGAGATATCTCATGGTATTAGAACATTCTTGTCACATAAATATCATTTGCATCTTTATCGTTTGTGATTGGACACACAAAATTATCGTGCTTGAGGTATAGTGAAGGAAAAATAAATGTGAAAGCTCAAGAAAGTGTGGGATGTTGACAATGGTAAATGCCAACTTGTAAATTCATACAATAATTGTTAGAATAATGCTATATATACATTTTGTACTGGCATTCTCCCCTTAATAGTGAACAAATATAATATTTAGTTATACAATTAAGTCTAAAACGTGTGATCAATGAAAAATGAACAAATATAATACTTTTTTGGGTTGAAAATTAAATCAGTCAACACACATTTAATTGATAATTTTCATACAAATAAATTCTAAGTAATTTGATTGCTTGAAATTTATTTTCTTTCCATACAATCTAGATAGCCACGATAAAAATAAAATAAATAAATAATAAAGCACATAAGCTACGTCATTCGTGCTCCCATCTTTCTCGCTAGTGATCATAAATTAACATGCCTCGATGAATATGTGCCCGAACCCTGTACACATCGCTCATTATAGCAATCAAAATCACCCTTAATCATACAAATAAATTCTAAGTAATTTGATTGCTTGAAATTTATTTTCTTTCCATACAATCTAGATAGCCACGATAAAAATAAAATAAATAAATAATAAAGCACATAAGCTACGTCATTCGTGCTCCCATCTTTCTCGCTAGTGATCATAAATTAACATGCCTCGATGAATATGTGCCCGAACCCTGTACACATCGCTCATTATAGCAATCAAAATCACCCTTAATATTTACGAAATTTGTACATTTTTTTATATTTTGAGAGGAATAAGAACATCTTATAAGAGACTTCTATAATATATTTTGCAATTTAGAGAGTAAAAATTTTAAATACTAATCTCAATACATATATTTATTATTTTTTCCTATCTTTAATTTTCACCGATTTCCCCCAAATTGTTATATCATCTCTCTATTTTCTTTGTATATAGTATCTAGTAGGATCTAACATATGAAGTATTGATAATTTAAATAATTTAAATGCACTTAATTATAAGAGACGCACTCCATTTTAACATATTAATTTGAATGATCTCTTGAAACATACTTTTAAAAATTGATTTTTCAAAGAGAAGCTTCAATCACTATTAACAATCACTTGAAAAAAACTAAGAAAATAACATAAAAATCGAGTTTTAATTGAGTGAACTAGCCAAAGCCTCGTAGTTTTACATATCATTGCATTAAAACTCGAATGGTGATTCATAACCACTTGTCCTCACAATCCGAATTGAGAGTATAGAATCTGTTTTTAGTTTTTGTTCTTGCAACAGAGAAATCTGAAAAAACTACTTTAATCAGCTTCTTCTGGAAATTCTTCCAGTCGGACTAAACACTATCTAAAATTATCTAAGTCAGTCCAAAAACAACTTCATAATCAGAAGCAACTTTTGAAATTTTAACTCTCGTCAAACAAGCCCTATAACCATCGTCCGAAGCCACGGAGCATTCCCGGTTTTGTATAAGGGTCAACCTTGAAGTGCACAAGGTAATATGCAATCAAAATTCAATACTCAAAAACCTTCGAAAGCTAAAACTGGAAAAAATAAACAGAATCCACAGTAATATGGAAGAACACGTATCGTCTAGTACAGAAACCAAACTCAGTAAAATTATCAACCAGTTTGTATAAATCGATGAAGCTAAACATGGACACATCCAAGGTAATTCGCACAGCTCCAAGAATTCATACGCTCAGCAGATCACTGAAAAAATTACAACATGTAATCAGAATCCTCCAGCACAATGACATTAAAAGAGCGAAGAAACAAGGCAAAAGTGATCCATTCACTACTTATGAGCAAAGAATTCAATCCAGAAACAAGATATCAGTGTCAAATATGCTAGGGACAAACGGTCACACTTTCTACCAGCAAAAATAAAATAAAATCATATCCACCCTTCGTTTAAGAAAAGAATATATAGCTTCTCAGGAGATCAAGCCACCACTAAGCCAATGAAAATCTCAATCCTGCCCAGTGCCCACGGAAACTACAGGTATCAGAATTTACCACAGGGAGTAATCACGTTCATTTGAATTAACCACGATTTTAGATATCATGTTGATATTTTAATCTATCGATTTGTATGTGACAAATCAAGTGATTGTAAACACTGCGTAGAGAACAAAGTAAAATAGTGATGGAAGAATACCTGCTGTGGCTGTTGATAATTTGCATATCCTGCGCCTCCATAGTACATGTTTGGATCTTGAGGTGGAGCATAGCTACCGTATGCTTCGTACCCCCCTTGTGTGTAACCATAATATGAACCACCACCCAATTGGGTCTGATCCGACTGAGACAAAATTGAAATCAGAATTCAAGTTACACAAACGGTAAGCTAGAACTACAAAGTATAGTTATGACCCAAACCTGTCTGTTTGAAGGACTACGTCCCCATGAAAGGCGAATACTTTGCCCACCTAATTGGGTACCATTCAAGCTTGATAGAGCTTGTTCAGCAGATGGCCTGGAGCACAACATGGCAAAGAATAAATATACAGTCAAACCACAAAACTTGCAAGACTATATTACACCACAGGCAAGTGCATGCTTACCGATTAGCAAACTGGACAAACCCACAACGCTTTCCTAATGGTATTTTTACATGGACCAGTTCACCATACGGGGAAAAGACTTGCTTCAAATGGTCGTCCGTAACATTGGGGTCTAGACCACCAACAAATATCTGCACTTGTGACATGAATTAAAAGGTCACTACTATAAAGGTGAGAAAATATATATTCAAATATTAAAAAAAAAAAAAAAACTACGCACTGTGGTGTTACTCGGGTCACTGTCGCCCTGATTTCCTTGAATATTCTGGAAGGAAGCTGCAAATGATATATGAATATGAAGAAGGCTGGAATAAACAATAATGATATCTCTAAGGAATCGATAAGAAACCACACGCCAGATAGAACCCTAATAGCGATGTGAAAGCACCAATTGTTGTATATGTATCTGGTCACCTTAGCCAGGGGGCATCGCATTTCACAGAAGTAAATGATCAGTGCCGACATCCCCACCAAAAAAAAAATTAAAAAAATGAGGAACTTTGATCAGCAAGCATAAGGTAGTGTCACCTACCTCAGAAAAGGAAAATGGTCCAAAATCCTCTTGTTACATGTGCATAATAAAAACATACATTTTAATAAATTCTCTCAACCAAGAAAGAAATGTGACCGCTTTAAAATCACAACAGAGCAAGAATGTCAAAGAATTTAATAGAGAAAGTGCTGACCTCGAATATGATTGAACAATAACATGGAGGACAACATTGCATAGTCGAATTGTATTGCACGTCTAAGATTTCAATAACCACCAAAGCCAAATATCCTATAATATTGCAAGCATGCAAACCATACACCATAAGTCTCTTCTTCATTTTTTTCCTTTCTTTTTTATTTTATTTTATTACTTTTTTTTCTGTGACAGCGTATAAGGCCTCTAGTGATGTTCTCCAAAAATGCACTCCTATAGCAACAGATTCTTTTCACCTTAGATTACTGGATACAACATACGGACATGACACCATTGCCTGAAATTATGCTCCCACCATGGTCCAAAAAGGTGTAGAGGATCACAAAATTCATGATATCTAATTAATAAGACACTTGCATAGGGCTCCCAACAGCAGCTATTATGACTGCACCAGTGTAAAATGACAGTGGCACATGTTAATTGACATTTTTATAATATATAAAGAGATCCATATATTTATCAATTCCATTGCATTTATGGACCAAGACATTATTTCTTATGGGATAAGTATCAGCAAAATTAATTGTTCCTGTCTGGGAAGAATTTGAAGATTGTACTTCAAAACGTTCAAGACAACTTTCACATTTTCTCCTAAAGAAATGACATTGAATTTTCTTTATACATGCATTGATTAAATTAGAAACATAACTATTTTCTATGCAAAATCTGGAGCCCCGTCCTTCATTATGGGCCACCAGCACAACCTTCAGTACCTTGAAAAGAGAGTCTCGTCAAAGTTTCCAGTGTCAAGTAGTCAGAAATATGTCCTTAGACATATTATATGTTCCCTCACTTGGAAAATTCTTAAGTTTTGAAAATGTCATGTGAATCAGCACTTTACTTCAGATTACCATGAACTCTTAGAATCACACCAATAGGCAACTGGCTGCATGAATCCGCTTTGTGATCAAACACGATCAAAGAAAATAGATGACAAGTTGACTTGGTGATTTGCCGACCCAAAATGAGATGTTCGTTACGGAGGAAGTCAACAAATTTTCTTTTGATCAAGAGCCAGAAGCAAAAAAGTATCTTTCTCGTGACCTTGAATAAATAAGAAGTCAAATCACAAAGCTGATTTCTCACTCATTCGGCTGTGGGCATGATTGAACAAGGCTGCAGTAACACAACAGAAGTGTTGATTTGCGTGACTATCAACATTATTTCTTTAGTAGTAGACAGCTTCCACTGTAGTCATTCTTGGTTCTTGGCTAAGACTGATAGTTCATTTATGTTGTTCTCATGGATTGTAGTATTGACTTCTCCCAATCCTCATGAGGCTATCAGGTTGTTTTTCTTTCATGTACAACACATAATTATGGGCTTTTTCCATCCCAATAGATGATGTTCAGACTAAGTCCTTGAGAAGGCCTTTTAATGTGGGATCATCCAGATCCAGATAGAGGATAGATGGAATAAAGGGTAGAGGAAGAGAAAAGGTATTAAGACAACTTTTGGCTACAAGCGCTTCTACAGTTCTTCTGTTATTAAGCCAACCAACAAGCCAATTGCACAAATGACTTGATAACTATGATAGTAGTGGAGAGCTCTCCTACTGATAGAAAACTGCTTTAGAAGGAGAAAAGGCAGTAAAATACTAAAGTATGAAAGCAAAGAGTAGATTTTTAGAAGCTTCAACTCATCCAGTGAAGAAAGGAAATGCTGGTCGCATGACTAGGACCACTTATTGCTTGCTCCCATACGATGGTTGAGGAGTTAGGCTATAGACGGAATTGTGTATTAGATATTAGGGAAGAGAAAATGCCGTTCAGCACAGGCTTTATAGAGCCTTTTATGAAGATGATCTTACTAGTGATGTGCTGGATAAACATCATGACAAGTTGTCCTGCCAAAGAATTAGTTCATTTGCATGTAGTTGGCTCCAATTAAGCAATCTCAGCAATACAAGTGCCCGGTGGAATGAGTTCCTTCTTTCCCTACTTGATTGCATTGCTGGTTTCATTAGCCAAAGGGATTAGATGAGGTTATCGCCCTTCCACCAGGAAACTGTACCCAGACACGGATGGGAAGGATTTATGAATGAATTGGAAAAGCCAACATAAAGGTTTTGTATTCGATTTTACTTTCATAGAGAGCAAGGGGAACTTGCAACAACTTCAGAACGTGCACCACCTAAACGACCAACAGGCAGAGAATGGAACTTGGGAGAGAAGCAAGATACGTCCGACTTATGTAGCACAATTTTTCCTAGAGGCTCCATGATTATTGACAAAGAATAGCTATTTAAACTGAATAGTATCAGATAAGAACTTAACTAACCACGTATTGCTAACCTAAAAGGCCACTTCTAATATTTGGAAATCATTCTAACAAGAAATCGGAATACTCTTAAGTTCTCAAACGTGTTAGAAAGCTGTAAAAGATCTTAATGTCAACACCTTAATAACACTTCCCCTTAAGCCCTAGATCAATATAGTTATATAATTGAAAAGAAAGCTTATCAAGTAATGAATATACTAAAAGAAATACTTATAAATTCGTTCAAGAAAACGTTTCTTTAAAAACTCTTACAGGCTATTAAAAAGAAGGCAAGAAAAGAAAGCTGCTTGACTTCGGGGAAATGCAAAACCAAAGCCACATCTCAAAACTGTCTATTGACTTCATAAATACAGTCATCTATGTCCATTCCAAAAGTTAAATTTTGAAGAGGTCTGCTAGAAAGGCTTTTGGAAATTAATAAAAAAATTCCATGAGGAAATTGATGAAACGGGCCCGCAGTAGTGGACTAACATCAACAAGAAAACTAGAGGCAATGGAACTCAATTTCCAAAGAAAATGAAATTTAATTTCATTGACTTGTAATTTAAAGAATACGGAACTGGAATTAAGTGAATCGCAGCATAAGAAACGCTACAAAGAAAAGATAAAAAGGAATCTTATCGCCAAAACAAGTTAACTGACCTAAAAGGAGGCCACGCATTAAAGGGGAATCATTTCAGCTGAAATCAGTTCCAGGCCCCCGTAAATGAGAGCCTCTTTGTTTCCTGCTGTGAGACAACATGAGTTTTATAAGTTTTTTTCACGTCTCAACAGAACCACAACGCCCAAGTTTAGAAAAAGTACTGGAAGGAAATGACTTGGTAAATTCTGGTTTATCTTCAAGACCATATCTACAAGACTGATAAAATTTAAAGGACGCCACAAATAAACTCCAGAAGCACATCAAGGACGGGGTAACAGCTTCACCAACCCGTGTTTTGGAATTTTCTACAGCATGCACCACACAGTTTGAAAATATAAAACAAGCAAATTGAAGAGGTGGATCAACATAAATTATTGCCTATGGATGTGGGAGGAACTACCGAAAAACATACCTTTCTGAGTAGTAGCAGTAGTCATTGGTGTTCTATTAGCAGCAGGGCCAATTCTCATGGGCCTAGTTGAACAGAGAACACCATTCATTTCGTTCATGGCCCGCTGTTGTTCACCCTCATCCCCAAATTTAACGAATCCATAACCCTTGGAACGTCCAGTGTTCCTATCAGTAACAACTTTTGCACCCTTGACTGATGAGTACATGCTAGAAAATGTCTCTTGTAAGAGATAATCTGTAACGTCAGGAGCTAAATCTCCAACAAATATAGTGTAGTCAGGAGTATCATCTGTGCGCCTTTGACCAGCGCCAGGAGAAGCCCAATTCAGTCGGAAAGTTTGCTCAGCATTTGGCATCAGCGCGCCATTGTAGGTTTGTAAAATATTTTCAGCAGCAGCATGAGTTCTGAATTCCAGAAACCCGTAATGCTCAGACTGACCAGTTTGCTTGTTACGGATTACCTTTGCAGATACGAGCTGGAGATAGAAGGCGACAGTTGGTGATCACAGAACAACAGATAAACCACAATAGATAAACAACTAAATTGTTTAAACAAGGGATAGAATATTAAAATTCATAACGCTAAATGTCAAATCACCCTGCTCCCACCCCAAAAAGGGAAAACTTTTTCCTCCTTGATTTTTGATGGTCAATTATATAACATGTAAAGAGTGTACGAAACAAAACAGTTTTCCATAGACAACGAAGTAAATATTTTTCTTGATTTACCAAAACTTTGCCAAATAAGATCCATTATTTATCCAAGTTATTCAATAAGGAAAATATTTTCTTTCCATTCATACAACTAAGAGTTAGAAAAGGATTCACAACAAACTGCATAAATTGATCAAAAAATTCCAACCTTGAGAAAAAAAATATATAAGAAACGCAAAATTCAGCCACACTTCATAAAATTATATGCCTTTTTATCAAAAAATATATACCTCGCCAGTATGGTAGAAGCAAGTGGTGAGATAATTCTCGTCCATCCAGTATTGAAGGTCCCCGATCCACAGCGACCGAAGCTCGTCGGATCCACCAGATGCCACTGCAGGAGCAGAAACGTTTGCTGGCGCGGCACCGTACTGCTGCTGCTGTTGGAATGGTAGTTGTTGCGCCCAGGGTTGAGGAGCTTGCGGCGGCATCATCATCCATTGCTGAGGCGGGTACTGGTGTTGCTGGTGCTGATGTTGCTGATCCATTGCCATTTGCGGCGGGACAGCTCCTCCGGGTTGTTGCATCATTGTAAACTAAACTGAAACCGAAACTGAAATTTCTCAACCCTAGTATAAAAATTGAGAAATTCGGTGAGGAAAATGAAAATTAAAGGAGAAAAAAATACGAGATCTAGCGAACCCTAATTCGATAGGGTTTGAAGAAATGGAAGGGAGAGAACCCGTCGAGGCGGAGGGGCCTTATACTTGGGAAATTGATAAGAGTCGCCGTGCTCTGCTTTTCGTAAATGCGACTTTGATTAATTGAGATGTGTCGACATTAATCTGATTGGTTTGTGCATTTCGATCCGACCGCAATGCTACATAAAATTACTAATAATTATTTTTTTAAAATTATTAAAATTATGTTTAAAATGTCACGTAATATGACTACTATAATCATTAACTATTATTTATTTCAAAAATAGTCGAGCATGTTCGATTTTCTTGAGAGATGAAAAAAGTTGCTTATTTTGCATACCTCCTTTTTTCAAAAAAAATTCAAAATATTTCCTCTTTTTAACGTAATTAATTTTTAACCTACTTAACAAAAGTACTTAACGAAAAACACGTCTTTATATTTATAAATAATTATGAATCATAATATCTATAATAATTAAAAATGGGTATTGACCAGAAACTTTTGAATACCAATTTTATCACAGCAATACCCTTAATTATGAATGCACCATAATGGTTAATACAACTCCATGAATTAATTATAATTCAACTTCATGTTGTATTCATTAAGTATAAAATGAAAAATATTAATCCTATTCTTTTATTTGAAGTATTTAAAATTACTTGTTAATCAAATTAAATTTTAATCACTTAAAAATCAACGCTCGTCTATCTATAATCACGTCAAATTACATTTGAATTGTAAAGGATGCACTTAGAATGTGAAGTAACGGTTACGTGAAAATAGAGAGGATTATTGCTGATTTTAAAGACCCAAAAATTAGGAGTTATTTTCATTAACATATTTGCAATTTCCATTCATATGTCTCCCTTAGGAATAAAATGAAAAATATTAATCCTATTCTTTTATTTGAAGTATTTAAAATTACTTGTTAATCAAATTAAATTTTAATCACTTAAAAATCAATGCTCGTCTATCTATAATCACGTCAAATTACATTTGAATTGTAAAGGATGCACTTAGAATGTGAAGTAACGGTTACGTGAAAATAGAGAGGATTATTGCTGATTTTAAAGACCCAAAAATTAGGAGTTATTTTCATTAACATATTTGCAATTTCCATTCATATGTCTCCCTTAGGAATTAGAAAGAAATCGGTAACATCTTCAAATTTATTTAAAAAATGAATTTTTTTTATTAGATATTAAAGAGGAGAATTTTTTCCAGAAACAAGTGATTAATGATAAATGCATTATAGTTTACTTTTATTAAGTTTTGAAGGTCTTTCTTCTTTAGAGAAAAATATGTTATTAAAATAACGAAATTTTCATTTTCGGTCATTGAATTGGTTTGGTCGCTAATATAATTCAACTTCGAAAGATACTTTGTAAATTATGTTTTTTGTAGTTTGTAAACTTATTTTAAAAAATTAAATTAATTAATAACTACTTTAAGTGTTTAATTGAATTTTTTTTGAAAAAAAAAATTAATTGTTCTAATATTAAATAAATTAAATCAATAAACTTTCATTTTTAGAGGAGTCTCTTTCTCAATAAATTTGAGGTTGACTAATTTCTTCCCAAATCTTTTTGTTGAAAATGAATAAAATAAAAAGGTGTTGTAATGTCTTATTATGTGAACTAATCGCATAATGTTTTCCTGAGATATACTATTATTTTAATTTCAACTATAAAAATAAAAAATAAAAAGACCATTTTGGCAACAAGCATTTGAAATCTAAAGGCCATTTGATTTGTGTTTCAGTTTCAATTTTGAATTTTGAGTACATTTTCAGTTTTTAATTTGAGGATCCTTTTTAATATTGTTAAAATACATTTAGTTTGTCATTTTGAAAACTTATTTCTCAAAAAAAGAAAAAATAATAATAAAAGATGTTTGATTTGAAATTTTGAAAAAATGTTTTATGACTTTTTATTCAATGAAATTTGATTATTCAATAAAAAATAGAAATATTTCGTGCTGATATATTATTAAGTAATATATACATTTTAAAGTTTATTAATCTTACAATATTTTTTTCTCACTACAAAAATAAAATAGAATAAATAATAAATTGAGTTCAAAATATAAACAAATAACAATAAAAATTCAAGAGAAAATAATTTTCAATATATATATAAAAGCTTTGCAATGACCATTAACAAGACGCAAAAAACAGTGCCTACTATTGGAATATATCTTCCTAAACATGTATTAACTCTCATGGGCAACCATATGTTCGCACTTTATCGCACAAATTTAATGCAAACAACAAAAGTTTTGTAAAAGCAAAAAATAAAAAGAAGAAAAGCGATGAGATGAGATGTCGACAAAAAAATTATCTACAAAGAAGAGTTATTGTAATCAAAATATTACATTTCATTTTATTCAACATTTTCACATTATATTCATGATTTTATCAAAAAAAAGTTATTCATTTATATTCATTTTAACAACTTTAATTATTCATTTTAACAACTGTAATTTTCCTNTCATGATTTTATCAAAAAAAAGTTATTCATTTATATTCATTTTAACAACTTTAATTATTCATTTTAACAACTGTAATTTTCCTTTAATAATATCAATTACTTTTAACTATTTTCCAAAACTCTATTGAAATTTCAAAAATATCACATATATCATTCATTCATTACATAAGATGTGCTTACAACTAGTTAATTCAAATACTCATTAAATATAATCCTCCTAACACACACCACTTCCATCTCCCACCATTTCCGAAGGCTTAGCTGTCATGTTACACAACCACTAAGGTCCATGGCGTCCCTCAATCATCACCTTCTCCATCGACTTCATATTTGAATTAAAACTTTCAGAGTTTCATGTTACAGCAAATTTTGCTTTGGACTTTATCTTCTCCTATGAAAGCAACACCTACTTGTCGAATTTCAAGTTCTCTGTATGTTTCAAACAAAAGGCTTACGATGGGTACTAATATTTTTGCATTGAGATCTAAGATTATCCACTATACCAGTTCCAGATACGAAGTTTCATACATGAAATGTGGTAATTTCATTACTAAAACTAAAATTTGTCCATTGTTTCCTGCTTGAATCACTACAACAAAAAGGACTTTTTAAGGCGTGTATTGAACGCCGTAAAAACACCTTTACGGTGTGCGGCCACACGTCGTAATTATAAAGCAATGCCGTAAAAAGTGTCCACTTTTTACGGCGTGCAATATACGCCGTTTACGAACACTGCTATTAGTTATTTGATTTTTTACGACGTGCTGCACACCGTAAATGCGAGTTTTTTTTTTTTTTTTTGATGGCATGTGCCTGCACGTCGTAAATGTGAGTTTATACTTTAAACGGCTTGTAGTCGCAGGTCATGAAAGGTGAACCTGTTAGCATTTACAGCGTGCTCTTGCACACCGTAAATCTTAATTTAATTTTTAAAAATCTTTTCATTTATTTGATTACCAGCACCTATAACAATTACACAAATCCAATTCTAACTCAACTAAGATAAAAAATAAAATATTTTTGAGTACAAGTTAGCATGATAAAAAACATTAATGACAAAATTACCTCACTGTAGGCCATATCATGCATTTGAAAAATGCAATATACAATGATAGAAGACAATAAACAATGATAGAAGACATTAAGGGCCAAATCTTTAGGAGGCTCCACTTGGAAGGTAGAAGCTCAGAATCCAAAACATCTATTTCTTCTGACTTGTTGGGGTCGTGAACTCTTCCAAAAGAGGGATAAAATTTGGACCATGTGTTGCAAGAAACGAGGAGAATTAGGAAGAGATGCATACTGGAAGCCAGCAAGAGATAACTGACGCAAACAAAGCAATGACTGATATTGCAAGACAGGTTAAAAAGTATGGAAACCTGCAATTTATTTTCACTATCAGAAATACTAAAACGAGTTTGCAATAAATAAACAGAGACTGAAAGAAATGAAAAAATATGCACTGCAGTATGGCTTACCTCCCGAAAAGAGATCCTTTAGAAAAGATGCGGGGATACTTCTCTGCAGGGTAAGATTATACAAGTTAGAAGTTTGATGGAAGAGCTTTTTTTCATTGAATAAAGATGATGAAGAAATTAAATGAAAGGGTGGGAAATAAAGAACTTGTATTGCTTTAGCTCCCACATCTGAATACTACTTAAAGTTCTTTTAGTCCATGTAATTAATGCCACCATTTGAACAGGGTGATTAAATGAGAAAACCAGCAGTAAAAACTAACAAGGTATCAGTTTAAGTAATCTCACCACAGAGACAGATAACCCATCCCTAATAAGAAGACCAAATTAACAACCAATAGTTATCAAAATAGGTGCTTCCATCTGTTATACAAACCTCTAACATAGCATCTAAAGACCAAGCCCCACGCCTCGCAAATTGTGTTTGTTCACGATATATTTACCAGCTTGCCTGTTATCTTCTACTTTTACACTTTAGTATGGAAAAATTCAAAACAAGCATTAAAAGGGTTGTCCATTCTATTTTGAAAGAGATACAGATACTATAGAGTCTATATACCAGTTTATATATTTTTTCATCTTCTATTAACCCCACCTTATCTTCTATAACAGATGGACGGCACATACCCAACACTTTCACCCTCTAGTCTTTCTGAAGCAGGTACCCTGAACATGCCCCAGCATTAAAAACAATACTTTTCAATTTTTATAATTTTTAAGTTTAAAAGGCGAAGAACAT